ATAACAATTTTATCTACTAGTACATATGCGTACACCGATCGTATGCAGGGCACATCTGCAGTGATATTTTATGCCTTTCTGCCGTCATGAGTGGAAATGGTCACACAACCGTTTGCCACATGACAAAGTATATGTCGCTTACATATTCATTTTATGCGTAGGCATCACCGGCAGAAACACTGCACATGATCGGTGTACACATATGTGCTAATCTATATCCCCGATCAACAACCGGTAAAACGTCGAGCCCGATAGTTCAGTGGTTAGGGCGTTCGCCCCTGACCGGAGAGAAGCGGGTTCGAATCTCGAGTTAGGCGGCAATTTCCGCCGGCTACACTGGAGTTGGGTATCTGCATCTGATGAGACCTAATGAGGTCGAAGTACGTACAATGCAAGTACCAATGTTTCTGCCGGTAATGCCTACACATAAAATGTTATCAACTTTTTCCTTTTCTAGCTGGACTAGCGCAGCGTTCGGGCTAATTACAAGTACCAGGCGCAGGTCATAACAGGAAGTTATTTAACAACAACAGAACAGGAAAGTTTGCTTGACAGTACGAATAACCAGCGTATCTCAGAGCAAACGTCTTAAGCCGAAGAACAATGTGAGTAGCTCTATAAATCTGGGACAGACACCTTTAGACCCTTCTTTTTTTGAGCTGACCCAATTGTGAAAAACTCGAGACGTTCGGCGGGATTTGAACCCGCGTAGTAGAGAAGGCCTTCACCGCAAGCCAACGCTCTAACCACTGAGCTACAGACACCCCATCTCGCGCCATGAATTTAATAACACTTGGGTCGATATTACCCGCCCAACTTTACCGCTCGTATGGAATCAACCAATACGCAAAAGCAAGCTGACTGCCCAGGCAGGATTTCTTAAGCAATCATCTAGAATTCACCAGAATAAGCCAAAAAGTTCATATTAACGAGTTCAAGCAAAACATAATTTCCAAAAGGAATAGGAGAAGGTTGGGCGGGTAATATCTTCCCAAGTGTGATTAAATTCATGGCGCGAGATAGGGCGTTTGTAGCTCAGTGGTTGGAGCGTTAGCTTCCGGCAAAGGCCTTCTTTGCTACGCGGGTTCAAATTCCGCCGAACGCCTCAAGTTTTTCACAATTGGGTAAACTCAAATTAAGCAAATCTGCCAAACCTCCTAATAATTTAGACCATTTATTTATTTACAAAATTTTTCGATAAGACGCTTTTCGCATAAAGGTTGTCATTAGTAAATATACTGAGTTATTAGCACAATTTGGTATAGTAAATAACGCGAAAATAACGCCAAAAAGTTCATATTAACGAGGTTAAGCAAAACACAATTTCTAAAAGAATAGGAGTAATCCTAGTAGAATTCGCTGTGGATGCTTGAGGAAAGAAAAAAAAGGGACGAGCCTACCTTCTGATAGGGTCGTAATTCGGCCTTGACGTGAGTTTTATTAGAGAAGAGTTTGATACTGCTGGGATGCAGAAGACATTGGACGAATTCGCGACCTTTCGCGCGAGCACTCGCCAGAGACGGATGCATCTCCGGACAGTCCGGAAGGGACTCCTGAAAGGGTCAAACGGTCAGTAGTGAGACAGAAGACAAAACATATGGCCAAAAAACCGCAAAACAGAGCACATGCCAGGAAAATAGTATG